TATTTTTTTTTGTTGTGTAAGGATGCTATGCCATTGTCCACTCCCGGAGAACGAGATGATTAAGATTGATCTCGTTCTATTTTTTATGCTGCTTGTGAGAGCGGATTCTGGTTTGTTACATTCATTCGCCAGGTCTCCCATCATGTCTAAAAGAAAATATTATATATTTTCTTTTATAGAAGAAAATATTATATATTTTCTTCTATAAGACTATCTCAACTCTCATTTTAGGTAAGTATGAAATATGAGAACGTTCATAGTTCAGTCCCTCACATATCAGTAAGAGCCGACATTAATATGGCGTTTTGAGGCTCCGAATGTCAATTGATGGCGACACGGCATGTGTATTTTTAAGCCGATTTTAGGATCATTCTTCGCCGATTAGTGCATTTAGAACATTTTAAATTAATATGTAGGTAATAGATTGAATTGGCATGTCTACGTTTTCATTCACTATATTTCTAAATCTTTTATAGTGAATGACCCATTTCATATATGAAAATGTATGTGAAAACGTTTCGTGAAATACAAAAAAAGAAACTCTTAGATTATTAACTAAAAGTGTTTAAAATACCGCATATGGGTTACAAAGCAGCATATACAAAACTAGTGCCTCTCACCAGAGTCGTCATGGTTTTCGGTGGTTTGGTCTCTTTGGAGGTTCTTCGCTGAAGTCCGATAGTGCGCGTGTGCCTTCGGTGCGCTTGCGTTGTTTTATATAAAACAAGAAAAACCCTGGCGGTGGACGGCACGTTGTCTTTATATTCAACCACGCGAACGGAAGTTTACAATAAAATTTATAAAACAAAGTTGTGAACGTGCTTTCATTTCAGCTGGGATTTACCCCAAGGGCGTTTTCAAATAGGATCGAACTACCATGTCCGGTGACCCTTTTTTAATTTTGATGAACAAAAAAATATTTTGCTGGCTCCATCCCAGAAGAATGAAACTTATCCTTGTTTTAGAAAACAAAAATTGTGTTCGCGAAAAAACAATTTAAGCACCCTCTCAGTCACGTACGCGTTTTGCGTATCGCGAGATGTTGGCACTTGGGGTGGCTTCCCAAAACAAACCTGTTCTGGCTACGGGTCTAGAAATATTTACTGACAAATTAGGCATAGGAAGAATCGACAAAAAGTATTAATCGCCGACTACTAGAGCCGTTAATTTGAGAAACAAATTCACAAAAACGGCACGTTGCGCAAAAGCGTTCTGGATTAATGATTTTTTCTCCGTATTTCTAAAAGCTAAGGTCTTCAAGCTTTGCCAGTGTGTTGCCCTGTATATAGTTCATCTGCGCATAAAATATTGTTGTTCTGGTTAGCGGGAGAAATTTAGAAGAATTGCTCACACATGGACATTTAACCAAGTATGCATTATTTTGAAACTAATTTTAAAAAGGCCATCTTTTATATTCTTTAAATTCTCCGACATTCACGTTTATAATATGTACTAACAGAATCTGCATAAACATAAAACAATATTTGTGTGGATTTGAAGGTTGTTATAAATCGGGCGTGCACATACCCCCATTCTTCACAATTTCATTATTATTCAAAAGCGTAAAAATGCTACGGGGTAGTCAGGAAAATACAAACTGACAGCACAGAGGTGGACGGTAGTTTTGAAGGGAATATTCCTAACGCCAGTTTTGTATAACCGACCCAAAAATGCCCATGGGCCGGAGCGATCAAGAGGCACCACCCTGTACCGTGCTTCGCGGTGCCTGTTTCGACAACCGGCGTGTTGTGTCGCCGTCTACGCGATGTGAAGGAAGCAACCGGAGCGATGCCAACGCGTTTCTGCGTTCCGCTGCAGCTATAAACCATCGATTCGCGTGTGACGTGAATGCAAACAGGGTTCTCCATTTTTGCTTATTTTTATTTTTTACTTGAGACTTTTGGCAAAAACAATCGGTGGCAACGCGAAGAAATATGCGGACGTTATTGCGCGGCGTCAAGCCATATACAACAACTACTGAACTGGCCTCTAATCTTTTCACAAAGTTGTACTAAATTCGTTTCTGAACTTTTTGTTTTTCTTTTTTTATACAGGTTGTAATGTCCGCCTGCGTTTTTCTAGATGCGCAAGCAGCTCAATGTATGCGGACGAGACCAAGGCTGCTGAGCGAGGCATAAAGATGAGTTTTAATAATCTAGGCCACTAACCATAATTGACGATCCGTATGGTTAACAGCGAACAGTAAAAGCTGAAAGCAACATAGAGCCCTCATTATAATGTCATATATTTAAACAAACATTAATTACTTTGGAAAGCCAGAAAACAATCTCATTGCTTTGCAGCAATTTCTATTCACTTGATTTGGCGTCGGTAAACGAGGTTTGTAAAATACATCTAAAAATTAACAGGAGAGTTTTCTGATAAAATATTCTTGAATATTTAAAGCGCTGTCAAGTAGAATAGAAAGCACAACAGACACGGACGACGTGTCTCTTTGCTCAGCAGTCCCAGATACGGGATTTTGCTGTCTTTTTTGTCGAACGCCATGTTTGATTCTATCAAACGTGGTGTTCGCCTTAGGTTCATCGCAGTGGGTAAAACTTCGATGTTGGCGGCGGCGAAGTCTTACGTTGCGGACGTCGAGTGGAGCAACACGGGCGGCGCCAACTTAACTTCACAATCCCCCCCCCCCCTTTTTTTTTCTCGCAGCCGAGGTATACATTTTGTTTAGTGCAAAAAAGCTCGGGGGGTAGTTTTGGGAAAGTGAGTGCAGCTGTTCTGCCAGGGTTGAACAAATCTTAGAGTGCAACATACGTCAACTGTGCTTGAGGTCATTGCTGTGTGAAACCAATGTAAGCTCTTTGCAACGCCTGAAAAACACAAAATTTAAAAAAGCTGCTGCCAGTAACAACATTAAAAAGAAAAACTAACCTTGAGTCGTATGTAGTGGTGTGGAGCAGTCTACCGCTAAACAGTACGACTTCATGCGTATTCGCATAAAAAAAAAAGAATTGAAAGTGCCCTCAAACATGAAAGGCATGACGGCCTTGTCCTTTGTCCACGCTGGGTGATTGGAAGTCAGAAAACAATAAAGTTTTCAAATCAAAATTAGTGTCAGAGAGTCCATGCCCTGGAAATGCTGAGAAACCGAAACTCAAGATACTTGGGTCTACCAAGATGGCCGCGTACAGAGTACTGCCAGAGCATGAAGAAATTTCGCATATCCGTATATTGCAAACCTCTATATTGTTTCTTTTTTTTTTTTGTCATTTAGTGCAAAGATTAGGATTGCAATAATAATAACCTTTATTTTGGGTGCCCAAAAACAACCACATTTTCTTCTCATTGGTGCACCAACACAAACAGACGAAATCGACAAGAAAATACACAGGCTCTAAACGCACTCACTAAAAATATGAAACATCTAACACAAACATAATGCTAAGGGGCTAGAATAATATCATACAAATTGTGAGGGTACATAGAAATTGATGCAGTTATGTCAAGGTGGGGTGGAGCGAAGGTATTATATCACTGAATCCGAGAGAAAGGTGAGGTATTACATGGAATGGAATACGGAAGTTCACTTTCGCAAGAAGTTGTGCCGAATCAACTATGCCATTTGCAACCTTATGCAGAAAAATTAAATCTCGAACAGTCCTCATTTTAGACAGTAGTGACAGTGAAAACACTATGATTATATATTCATACGTGTAATAAAAGTGCCGCTCAAATTATCTATCATAAACAATCCGGAACTCTTTTCTGAACATTTTCTATGCTCCTAGCCTGTGTCTTCGATATCAAGTTCCATACGACAGAAGCAAACTCGAGTCATGACCTCACTAAAGAATTAAAAAAGGTGAATCAATGAATGAGGGTTTTAAAACTACGCGACAAACGAGAAATTGCCCCTAACACTCTAAATAAATACACGACCCACGACACATATTTTTTTTTTTAAATAAAGTGCTGTCAACACACAGACGAAGGTCCTTCAAGATTGGTACACGCTGTATTGACGATCCCTCGAGATAATAAGCAGACTAAAAAGAAAGAACGCCAACGGCAGAAAGAAATTACTTTTGTTCTTTGGGGGTTAAGCAGCAACTGATTATTTTTACACCACCGAAGAACGCTGGTAACATCCCCTTGTAGGACATCGCAATCTTCGAGACTATTAATATTTCTGAACAACTTAAGGTCATCAGCGAAAAGAAGTAGTTCAGAACTGTTCACGCAGGACCCTTTATGGACAAACACAAATTTCCAATGTGTTTGGAGATTTGTGTTTGTCCTTTGTCCCTCTTGTTTCCCTTCTCCAGGGATTATTTTCGTCATTCTTGTCCAGCTCGCTTGCACCTTTGCATTTAATTGCATTATAATCATAACCTTAAATTGCAAGCTTCACCCTTGTTGGTGTTAGACTGGTGGCGGCTGATAAAACCCGTTTTCTCTACTGATGTCTAACCCCCGGTTAGCTCAATTGGTAGAGCGCTCCACCTGTAATGGAGAGGTTCCGGGTTCGATACCCGGACCAGGCGGATTTTTTCGGTCACGCACCAGTCACCTAGCTGCGTTTGGAGATTTGTGTTTGTCCTTTGTCCCTCTTGTTCCCCTTCTCCAGGGATTATTTTCGTCATTCGTGTCCAGCTCGCTTGCACCTTTGCATTTAATTGCATTATAATCATAACCTTAAATTGCAAGCTTCACCCTTGTTGGTGTTAGACTGGTGGCGGCTGATAAAACCCGTTTTCTCTACTGATGTCTAACCCCCGGTTAGCTCAATTGGTAGAGCGCTCCACCTGTAATGGAGAGGTTCCGGGTTCGATACCCGGACCAGGCGGATTTTTTCGGTCACGCACCAGTCACCTAGCTGCGTTTGGAGATTTGTGTTTGTCCTTTGCCCCTCTTGTTCCCCTTCTCCAGGGATTATTTTCGTGACGAAAGTAATCCCTGGAGAGGGGGAACAAGAGGGACAAAGGACAAACATAAAACTCCAAACACAGCTAGGTGACCGGTGAGCGACTGAAAAAATCCGCCTGGTCCGGGTATCGAACCCGGGACCTCTCCATTACAAGTGGAGCGCTCTACCAACTGAGCTAACCAGGGCTTAGACGTCAGCAGAGCAAACGGGTTTTATCAGCCGCCACCAGTCGAACACCAACAAGGGTGAAGCTTGGAATTTAAAGTTATAATTATAATGCAATTAAATGCAAAGGTGCCCCTTTGCATTTAATTGCGTTATAATTATTTTCGTCATTCTTGTCCAGCTCGCTTGCACCTTTGCATTTAATTGCATTATAATCATAACCTTAAATTGCAAGCTTCACCCTTGTTGGTGTTAGACTGGTGGCGGCTGATAAAACCCGTTTGTTCTACTGATGTCTAACCCCTGGTTAGCTCAATTGGTAGAGCGCTCCACCTGTAATGGAGAGGTCCCGGGTTCGATACCCGGACCAGGCGGATTTTTTCGTTCACGCACCAGTCACCTAGCTGTGTTTGGAGATTTGTGTTTGTCCTTTGTCCCTCTTGTTCCCCTTCTCCAGGGATTATTTTCGTCATTCTTGTCCAGCTCGCTTGCACCTTTGCATTTAATTGAGAGTTTGCTTATATACAGGAAAAAGGGGGGGGGGGGTGAAAAAGGGGGTGGAAAGGCGGAGCACTATGCCGTCAAGGGTGCGTCGTCGCTGTCGGGAACGTCGGGGGAGATAGCTCCGAACTAAGAAATCTTATCTCTTTCCCCGAAAGGGCAATGGAAGGGGAGCCGATGTTGTCCTTGGATCGACACATGGCGAAGGCTTCCAGAATCCCCCGACCATACCTCGAGGGGTGACCCCCGATTCTTGTAGTAGAGGGAAGGACGGCCGAGCAGGAAGTACATTCCGATGCGTGTTTGCGAACGGATGCGAACGGGTGGTGAATGACCTCTGAACCGTTGGAGACCGCTTTTTTAACCTCGTTCGCGTGCTCTCTCAGGCGGTCGTTGAAGCAGCGCCCCGTTTGGCCGATGTATCGGGCACCACAGGACATAGGTATTGAGTAAACAGACTCTTTGCGGCAAGGAACGTAACAGGTGTTGTGGTTCTTTTGGCAAGGGGGCGCCGGTCCGGGGCTGTTGACCCGACCATACCTCGAGGGTCACCCCTCGAGGTATGGTCGGGAGATTCTGGAAGCCTTCGCCATGTGTCGATCCAAGGACAACATCGGCTCCCCTTCCATTGCCCTTTCGGGGAAAGAGATAAGATTTCTTAGTTCGGAGCTATCTCCCCCGACGTTCCCGACACGACGCACCCTTGACGGCATAGTGCTCCTCCTTTCTACCCCCTTTTCACCCCCCCCCCCCTTTTTCCTGTATATAAGCAAACTCTTGGTGTTATTAAATGTTGTTGCCAGTTGGAAGTTTGTGTTTGTCCGTCCTTTCTCGTTTTCTTCCTTAAGTTTAACTATCCATACCAACCCGCTCGTTCTGTCCCTACGATACGTTACAGCTTCTACCCCCTTCGAGGGCAGAGCCTTGGAATAATGGCAACCAAGAAACAGTTCTCGCAATGACTGCGGTGTCCCAAGTTAGAAGCGTTCATGAAGGGTGCTGCACGAGCCGTCAGCTGCACACTTCAGCACAGGCGACTCCTGGAACTTTGACCCACTTGTCCAGGACAGGCGGCAAAGCCTCGAAGCCAAGGGACTTTTCTCTAGGGAAGGTTGTTGGAAAAACCGCAAGGTGCAGAAGCTGTAGACGACTTGGACCCAGTTGCTCCTTCTGACATTGGTCCACGGGTCCAGGGCAGTCTTCAGTAAAAGTCGCCAAGAAACAGCAGTTCAGGGAGAGGATGATAGTAGAGCCACCGGGCGCTCCTGAAGCCGAGGTCGTCGACTGCGAGTAAGCTAGACAGTCGAACGAACGACAACCAGAAAACCCGGGTGACGGCCAGGAGATGCCAAATCGAGATTCAAAGTTGTCGAGTGAAAAAACACTACACCAATCATCATACCGCACTGCCACATTTTATTTAGTTTCCCGACTTGGGATTACCCCGTCCCGAAGGTGTGTTAGTCTAGCCCCCAAAAGTGTTTCTTATTTACAATTCTTATTTACAAGATTAAAAGTCAAGTGACAAACTTATTTACAGAGGAAGAAAAGAAATGAAATGTATTTAGACCGCTCTGCTCAAACTGTCAGCGTTTGAGTGGAGCTTTCCTTTCTTGTGTTTCACTTGAAAGGAATAGGATTGTAATGTCAGGCTCCAACGCAAGAGTCTACCATTTTTGGGAGCCATCTGACTCAGCCAAGTTAGTGGTTTATGCTCGGTGACAAAAACAAATTCTGCACCGTCAAGGTAACATTTCAGCTTCTCTACAGCCCAGACCATACAGGCGCATTCTTTCTCTACCGCGCTGTATGTCTGTTCCCCTGTCGTCAGCTTCCGGCTAGCGAACAGAATTGGGTGTTCGTCCCCCTTGCTATCAATTTGGCTCAGCACGACGCCCAACCCCCTTTCACTTGCATCACACAGTACGAAGAAAGGGCTTGAAAAGTCGGGACTGGCCACCACAGGAGGGCTAATTAATGCCTCTTTCAAATTCTCAAAGGCTTGGCGCCGTATCTCGTCTTATAAAATCCGGACAGGCTCTTTCTTTTTGAGAGCATCTGTTAACGGACTAGCTAACTCGGAAAACTGAGGGATGTACTGCTGATAGTAACTTACTAAACCAATGAAAGACATTAAGTCTTTCTTTGTGTACGGTAAAGGAAACTCATGGATAGCGAAGAGTTTCAGCTCTTGCGGACGCCTCTTTCCTTGGCCAACTACTTGGCCTAAGTAGCTCACCTCGGAACGCGCCAACTTGCACTTGCTCGCCTTCACTGTCAAACCCGCGCTTCGCAATCGAGATAAGACGTCGCGCAAATGCTGTTCATGCTCTTCCACGTGTTTAGAAAAACTGCAATGTGATCAAGGTACGGTAGCGATAACGTTTCTGCCCCCGAAAGCACCTTGTTCATAAGACGAGAAAAAACGAACGGAGCATTTTTTAAACCGAAGCTAAGCACAAGCGGCCTGTATGTTCCGAACGGGGTTACAAAAGCAGTGATGTCGCTAGCCCTGTTTATTAGCGGAACCTGCCAATAGTCGCAGACAAGGTCAAAAGTAGAAATGTACTTTGCCGAGCTGACTCTCTTGATGCAGGCTTCCATGTTCGGAATAGGGAACATCTTAGTCACCGTTACGGAATTTAGCTTTCTGTAGTCAACACACGGTCTAGGATCCTTCCCCGGGCACTCCACAAGAATCATAGGCGAGGCGTAGTCAGGCTCACACGGCTCAACAAGTCCAAGATCTAGCATTTGCTTGACTGCCTCCCACATGGGACGTTCCTGTCGAAGCGAGAAACGATACGGCTTGCCCGTGGCCGGCAACTCTGAACAGAGTTCTATATCGTAGGTGATCAAATCAGTCCTACCAGGCTTAGTAGAAATACATTTGAGTAATCAGAGATAATTTTCTCGAGGTCGAAGAATTGCTGTTTTTGTATCTGCGCCTGACTAAGCGTAATATCCAAAATTTATTTTACTGTGAAATCATCACGCAAAGTCACCGGAACAGGAACTTTTGGCGCAACTTATTCGGGCGCGTTTAGAAGGATGTTCGCGACATGCACTCGTTCGATGTAAGGTTTCATCAGTTTGCAATAGAAGATCCGCACTTCTTTACGGCGACCCGGTTGTCGAACCACGTAGTTAGTGTCTGACAATTTTTGTTCTACCGTAGCGGGTCCTTCCCATTGAAGTTCCAATTTATTTGCTTTCGCCGAACGTAAAAGCAAAACCTTGTCGCCCTCGTCGAACGAACGCATGCGACTGTTTTTGTCGTAGTACTTCTTGGCCCGCGCTTGCGCCTCCATCATGTTAGCCTTCACTAATTCTTGCGTGTTGCAGAGGCGGTTCAGGAGCGTTAGAATTTACTCTGCCACCGTGGGATTTTCGGAGTCCCCCTCCCACCTTTCTCTGAGTAGGCGCAACGGTGAACGCAATGCACGGCCGTACACCAATTCCGCCGGCGAAAACCCGGTTGATTCGTGAACGACGAAACGAAGGGCGAACAGCATGGCAGGCACTGCCGCATCGCCCTCTTTTCCATGCTCGTGGCATAAGGCCCGCAGAATTCGCTTCATAACAGAATGCACACGTTCCACGTTGCTCCTCCGTGGGTGGCTGACGGAACTGTGGCTAATTTTTAGGCCACATTTTTCGAAAACGCCAGAGGTTAGTGCACTCGTGAAAACGCTTCCCAAGTCGCACTGAATTTCACTGGGAAAACCAACCCCCGAGAAAACAATGAGTAACGCATCCACGACTTCCGTAGAAGTCTGCTCTCGTATAGTGGCACCGCCTCCGGGAACTTACTTGCTGGGCAAAGAAATGTAAGCAAGTATCGGTAGCCTGATTTGGTTACCGGAAGAGGTCCCACTACATCAATTACTTGCCTTTTGAAAGGCTCAGTTATAATAGGAACACAGGTTGGAGGGGCCTTGACCTTCTCGTTTGGTCTTCTAGTTCGCTGACAAACGTCGCCCGAATGGACGAACGGCTCAGCTTCTTTGAAGCATCCGGGCAATTAGTACTCAGCTAAAAGCCGCGCTTTAGTTTTCTTGATTCCTAGGTGACAGGACCAGCCTTTAGCGTGAGCAAGCTCCAAGAGTTAAGTCCTGTACTTAACTGGGACGACAAGCTGGTCGTACTCTCGCCCACCCTTGGCAATGCAACTGCGATAGAGGACCCCATTGTTAAGAAAGAACGACACTTTCTTTGATGGCATTTGAATCCTCTTTCTGCATTCTTACAGCGAGTCATCCGCAGCTTTCTGTGGACGTTGAGTGCCGCCTGCTGTGGGTGTGGGGGTGTGGGGACAGTGCGAGGCGCTAGGTGAGCTTCACCGGCCAGACTGTCAGCCCGTTCGTTGCCCTTAAGGCCTGCGATCCACTGGAAACATACCGTAGATCCGTGGGTTAACGAACGATAGACTTCGTCTCGCTGCAGTGGTCGCGGGATCCGCGCACTCTGCATTGGCCAGTTTCTGGAGGGCACACCTTGAGTCGGTGAGGAGCACCATCCGGTGAAGTGACAGCTGGGCAGCCGCTTGGAGGGCCTTGTCATTAGCCACTAGCTCGGCCGTCGTGGAGGATGTACTCGCCTGTAGCCTGCCGCACCATTCCAGGGCTAACTCCGGGATGTAGAAAGCTGCCGTGCTGGATGTTCTAGCCTTGTTTACAAAGCCGTCCGTGTATATCTGCAGCCAACCACCGTAGCATTCTTTGATGTGTTTTTCCACAGCTTCTCTGAGAGCGTTGATCGGTCCAACTTTTCTGGCTCGCAGGCGCTTGATCCGTAGCTCGCTGGATACCTTGGCAACTTTTCAGGGCGCTACCCTTGCTTCGCTCGCCATCGTCGGTAGCGGGCCGGCTATGTTAAGGAAATCTTCTACCGTGTTGTGCCATGACCCTTTGGTCCGAGCTTGGATTCGCTGCAGGAACCACCTGCCTGGGAGAGTCGTAGAGAGCCGGGCTAACTGGGAGAGTCTTCTGGCTCTGGCCTGGACTGTAAGCGGCTCTGGGCCCGCCTCCTGGAGTACCACAGCATTCTTGGTCGCGTTGGGAATTCCCAGTGCTGTACGTAGCCCGCGTCTGTGCCCTTGCTCCGCAGCCTCTCCATATCCGCCTGGGACGGGAACATGTAAGGAAGCCGGTACAGGATTCTAGACGTCACCAGCGCGGACTGGGCGCTAGTGATGGTCCGTTCTGTGCAACCCCACGTTGTACCCGTCATGTGGCGGACAGCGTTCATGGCCGGCCTGCATACGGCGGTTGTCGCTTTCACTGCTTGTGCCCAGCGCAGCCGACTTGTGATGACAATTCCTAAGAAGCGTTGTTTGTTCACACACGTGAGGGGTTTTTCTGCCAGTTTGATGTCAGGGGGGGCGAAGACGTCGACCATTTCCGCGCACCGGCATCCAGACTGTCTTATCCTGGGAAAGGGATAGCCCCGATTTGGTCAGGAAGGTGTCTACCGCTTGAACGGCGCTTTGTATGCTGCGGTGGATCTGCGTGGTATAAATGCCCGTAACCCAGAGGCAGATGTCGTCTGCGTAGATCGACACCTGAACCGGGACAGGGGTCGAAGGAAGAGAGAGCGTTAGTGGTGCCATAACCATGTTGAAAAGAATCGGGCTTAGCACGCTTCCCTGAGGCAGTCCTCTGTGAAGCAGTCTTGGCGAGGATGCCGCGCCTTCAGCTCGAATCTGGATCTTGCGTCCGGTAAGAAAATTGGCGAGGAAGACTTGAATTTTTCCGGTCAGTCCAATCTCAGTCAATCCCCGGAGTATAGTGGATGGCGGCACGCCGTCGTAGGCTCGTTCCACGTCGAGGAAGACTGCCACCATGTTTTTCCGCCTGTTCTTGTTTTCCTCAAGGTCGCTCGTGAGGTCCAGGATGATGTCTTGTGCTGCCAGCCCTCTCCTAAAGCCAGTCATGCACTCTGGGAGACACATGCGTTCGTCCAGGTACCACCGAAGGCGCCCCTGCACAAGTCTGTCGAACAGCTTACTTATGCACGAGGTCAGCGAGATTGGGCGGTAAGACTCAGCTTTGTCTGGGGGCTTCCCTGGCTTCAGTAGTGGGACAACCGTTGCTACTTTCCATTCTTCTGGGACGTCGCCAGAGTCCCATATGGAGTTGAACCAGGTGAGCAGGGCCTCGAGTGCATCGTTTGTTATGTTCGTGAGCGCCTGGTAAGGGATCCCGTCGGGCCCAGCTGCAGTCTTCTTACGACACTTCCGGAGGGCGCTTTGGAGTTCCGGTGCAGTAAAGGGGGCATCTAGGGGCCCAGGCGCAGCGTCGGGTGCCAGCGGTCGTTCCGTCGCTTCTGCGGGGGCGTACAGTGCGCCTAGTCTCTCTGCTGCATCCACGAGTGTTACGTTAGCCGCAAGCGTTAGGACTTGCAAAGCGTGTCTTGTCCGACGTTTCCCGGTCATTGCCCCCAGTACCACCCACAACGTCGCGAGGGAGGTGGGTGCGTCGACGTCTTTGCACATGAGCTTCCATCTATTTCTAACCAGCGCTTTAGCGTGTCTTCGCAACTTGGCTCTTATTCTGTTGAACTTGGACTTATCCGCTGGATTGTTTGTCCTGCGGTGCTTCCTCTGCGCCCTGATACGTGCCGTTTGGAGATTGAGGAGAGTAAGGTCCGGTTTGGGGAGCCATTCCGAGACACGGGACGTGCGCGTTGCCGCCTGCAGCGCGTGAACGATGGCTTCTGGGATGTCTGTTTGGGTGAGGTCCAAGGATGCACGGAAAACGTCCCATTTCGTGCACGATCGCGACACCTTTCGGGCCGTCTGGCACCCCTTTATCGTGGTATGAATGGGGAAGTGGTCGCTTCCTCTGGTATCTGGTGCTGTTTCCCAAGTCAGCTCCAGCGATGGTTTGTGTGGTGTGACGTCGAGGACACTATACGTTCGAGGGGGCCTGAAGAAGGTAGGCGCACCGTTGTTCGCGACAACCAGTCCGAGCTCTTCTATCATATGATTGAGGGCGTCTCCCCGCTTGTTGGTTTCCTGACTTCCCCATGCTTTGCAGTGCGCATTGAAGTCACCGCACAGCAAAAGGTCTCCCTCAATGGCCTTACACCACTCTACAATGTCCTTCGTCGGCAAAGGCGTACCATCGGGACGTACGTATCCGACGAGTACATGCAGCGAGCGATTTCCGGGGCTGACTTTTGCGGCCACGAATTCCGCCGATAATGTACACAGTCGGCTGGTGTCAACTGGGACGTGAGGCACCCCTCGTCGAATAAAAAGAGCCGCGCTCCCATGGGGGAAACTTGGTATGGATTGGGTTGTAAGTTTCACGTATCCAGGTAAAGTTTGCTTCCCTGGTAACCCTGCTTCTGCGAGTGCCAGCACAGGGCTGGGATAGCGTTGCAGGTGCAGGCTGAGCTCACTGTGTTTGACGGAGAGGCCTCGGCAGTTCCACTGCACCACAGTTGGTACGTCACTCCGCCTAGGGTGGGACTCTTCCTTAGGACAACGGGTTACTGTTGTTGGAGATTGGTGTTTTGGGCGCATGGTGCGTGCTCAGGCGGACTGTGGGGCGATAGCCTCGAGACTTTCGCTGACGGCGTCAAGAACTTCCAGTGCGAACTTTGCTTCTGGTCTGTGGCCCCGTGCTTGGGCCAGCTGCCTTACTGCGCGAAACAAGAGTGATACCATTCGGAGCAAGGCGACGTCAGCTGTCTCCATCGTCGCGGGAACTTTGCCCTGAGCCCTTCGTGCGACCTTGGCATAGCGGCAGCCCTTGTCCTCCAGCGTAGTGTCGTTCGGCCGGAGTCCGCGGCTGTGATTCTTCTTTGGAGGGTGAGTGGTATCATGGTCCCTCCTTTTCTCCCTCCCTTCGGTCTGATTCCCTGGCAGCGGCGGGAAATCTGTTAAGGATAGCCTCTGTTGGGACCTCGTCTTGCGAAGTTCTGTGTCCGCTGCTTGCGCAGCGTTTCGGTGACCCTTGCGGGTGTTCTGCTTGCGTGTAGCCGCTTTTGCTTCCGAGTGGGTGTACGCCGTTTTGGCGCGCATCTTGCACACACGGCGTTCTTTCCTCAGGACTGGACACTGGCCGATAGTTGCTGCATGGCCCCTTCCGCAGTTGATGCAGCGAGAAGTTTCACTGTCACACGCCGTGGATTCATGCCCGCCCGAGCACTTGGCGCACGTCTGCTCCTTTTGACAGGCCGCTGCCACGTGTCCGATTCTGTTGCATCGAAAGCATTGCAGTGGTCTTGCCAGGTAGAGCGTGACTGGGTGACGCACGTACCCCATGTGGACGTAGTGCGGCAGGTTTTTGCCTGCGAAGGTGACTCGGATTGCGGAGCTCTTCCCGAGACGCCGCACGTCGAGGACTTGGTGAGCTGGGGCCCGCAGGGCTTCCAGAATTTCTTTATCCGTCAGTGCCTGGTCTACATAACGGACGACTCCCGCGATGTGGCGGACCCTCCAGGGTACGCGTACGTCGACTGGCGTCTCACAGATCTTTTGAATTTGAAGGAGCGCTGGCACAGCTTCTTCCGTCAGGACGTCGACTGCTATCAAATTTTTCCTACCGTTGACCCTTATCTCCTTGACTTGTTGGGAAGCAACCGAGCCAAAGAGGGCATTCAAATGAGATTTGCTGAGCGCCCGGACGCTGGTCTTGTCTGTCGGTCGGAACAGCACCGTGTGTCCATTGGCCGCGTTTTTTGATGACGTGCGAGACCTCCAGGAGACGGTGTCACCGCTGTTTGTCGAGGCTGGCCGACTTTTCTTGGACATTACGGGGATGAAACCGTCGTCGGTGTCGTCCCTGTCGCTGGTCAAGGGTATCGCCGCTTCTTCCATGCATGACTCGACGTCGGAGAAAGATGCATCCGACATGACCGACGAGGGTGGAGAGCTGGCGTGGCAGTCCCTTTTCCGGTGCTTCCGTCCCGGAGTTGCCGGTAAGGCCGGGATTTGATGTGTCCGGCCAGGTCTTGCAGACGCGCCTCCCGAAGCGGTGGCCATCCACTTCCGCTCTTGATTGCGTTGCCTGCAGCTCTTTCCGCACAGAAAAAGAAAAAAAAAACAAAAAACTGCAGGCTGCTTTCAGCGAAAAGAGACTAGAAGGACAAGATGCGTGTCCGAACTGTAAAGGCGAAACAACTCGAAACCTGACTGAATCCGTGACTTCGTTCGTAAACTGCGTCTAGGAAGTTCCAGACAAGCGCGAACCTGCGCTCCCACGGCCGGTGCAGTGGCATTTTATCGAGTTTCCACCGAAAACTGCATGGCCATGCGCCCCGTCCCGCTTATCATGCCGATAAGATACGTTACAACATATATATATATATATAGAGAGAAGAAGGAAAGAACCCTTAGTGAAAACAGCAACAATGAACAATTTAATCTTCGACGTTTCGGCCGGAGTCCGGTCTTCGTCAGGAAGAAGCTTCTTCATGTCTCCGGTTTTGTCACCCCGCCGAAATATATAACTAAGAAAAAAACTAAGAAAAATATAACTAAGAAAAGAAAACCTTAGTGAAAACAGCAATAACGGACGATTTATTCTTCGACGTTTCGGCCGGAGTCCGGCCTTCGTCAGGAAGAACTTTTACAGATGAACGTGGGTGGTGTTTATACAATGCTACGGTCGAGTCCAAGTTTCAAAAACGGCGGATATGACGGTCGGAGGTTCCAAAGAAGTGTAGGAGGAGTTCCAGATGGGCAAACGTTTATAAAATGCTGGTCGGGTCCAAATTTCGGCGGGGTGACGGTTGGAGCTTTCGTGAGAGGGAAGCGAGGGCAGTTTGTATCCGGGTGAAGAAGCTTGTCGGTCGGGGCCAAGTTTCAAGGACGGTGGGATGACGGTTGTAGCATCTTGAGAGGCGGCGCAGGGGGACTTTGTCCGGGCGGGCAGGGGTGACCTGGACGATAGCGTGCAATAGACGAAAGACAAACGCGCAAACTAAAGTGCTGTCGCAAAAAAAAAACAAAAAAAAAAACGGCACGGTCATTTGTGATGTTTTGTGCGGCATGCATGAGTTCGACCTGGAAGGGAACAATGTTAAACCTATAAATAAAAAGAAAGATAATGAATATCAAACCCTGGAAATAAAAGAGAAAAGTTGATGGTCCAGTTCCGGCCACAAACACAGTACCACTGCTAAAAATAAGGTCTGGAACCTGAAAATATGTCCCCTGATCGCTGTTGAGGTTGCCCTCATTATTTATTTGCCGCGAGAGCCGTACCTTCCAGAAAAGCCGAAATCCCAAGCGCTGATGAATCAGAATAGCCTTGGCGACAAGGGAGAAATTGCGTGAGATAGTTTCGGATTTACACTGAAAAAGAAAACCGTAAGTTTAGGTAAAACCTAAGATAGACTAAATGTTTTGTTAATTTTTTACAAATATAATAAAGCGACATTATTATTATTATTCATATATATATATATATATATATATATATATATATATATATATATATTGATTTGCTTAGTTTTTTCTTCAAAAAAACAAAGAACAAAGAAATAGACTTTTGAAAAGTGCGCAAGACCATCGCTATTCATTTCATTTCATTTCATTTATTAGCCATTTTGAAGTGGGGTGGCAGGGACAAAAGGTGCTTAATAGCATCTGACCAAGGTCCCGAGCCCCATACAGGTTTCAGAGCGGCAACACAGATAAAAGCAATGAAAAAACAAGAAAACAAAAAAAAAGGTTGTTTACACATTTGTATCCAATATGTTATTCAAACTTCAAAATATAATCCCTTATTCTTTTTTTTTTTTTGAACGTATCTATTGAATTTACTGCTTCAGCTATTTCCAGAATTTGAGGATGCATGTTTAGGAGTTGGGGAATTTGCTGTGTTAATGTTTGTTCACCATAGCTCGTACGTGTTTGACCTCGAGCATAATCCACACGTCTTAAGTTGTAGTTAGTTTCTCTTAAGGGAAAATGGGTGTGAAACGACTCCCTGTCAGTTTTGAGATAATGCAAGATGGCTTTTGTAATCTTGAATATTATTAACTGTTGTATAGTAAGCAAGCGATGTTTTTTTTGTTTTTTTTTTAAATAAGCAGATGTGTGATCGTTATAACTTAAACACTCAATAGAACGGATCGCTTTTTTCTGGAGGTTATTTTTAGTAGTCGTACCCCAAACCAATGAGCAGTAATGTAAATCAGAGTGAACAAGTGCATAGTATAATTGGCACTTGAGCCATGTTGGTCATAAATATCTTAATTTGTGTATTGTGCCAATTGATCTGGAGAGTGTTATAGACAACTTGGACACATGAGTTGTCCAGTACAAGTGTTCATGAAACCATACACCCAGGAACTTTAATGACTCAACCTCCCCAATTTGTAGGAGTTAAATTTTATATCTATGTCGTAGTTAAGCCTCTTATTTCTTACCCTTAAAACAATATATTTAGTTTTCAAAATATTCAATTCAATCTGGTTTGCAACTAGCCACAGTGATAAATCCTTTAACCAATCATTAGCTGTGCTTTCAAGATACTGGAGGTTACTATCGGAAAAAAATACATTCCAGTCGTCTGCGAATAATACCATTTCTGAGCGATGCGAAATATTAACGATATCATTGATGTAAATAAGAAACAGTAATTGTCCTAAAATTGATCCTTGGGGACGCCATATGCTATTTGATGGATGTCTGATTTGACGCCGTTATAAGTGTTGAATTGTAATCGAGAACTTAAGTAACTATTAATTAATTTGTTCGCTAGGCCCCTTACACCATACATGTTTAGCTTTGTTTGTAGTATTGATGTTTAATTGAATCAAAGGCTTTTCGGAAGTCAAGAAATATTCCGATGGTAAACTGCTTATTTTCAATGTTTGTAATAATTTTATCTTTAATATTTACAAGTGCCATTTCCGTCGATTTATTTTTTTTGAATCCCAAACTGCTGCTTGGAGATTACATTATGTATTGTGAAAAAACTAGTCAGGCGATTATTAATTATTTGTTCTAAAATTTTCGAAAAAATAGGAAGTACAGAAATTGGCCTGTAATTATTGAGGTCATTCCGTACACGACCCTTATGTACAACGCAAACGCGTGCTACTTTCATTCTGTCTGGAAAGCGACCAGTTAACACTGACGTGTTGCATATGTGTGTTAGCGGAGTTAATATTAGACTGGAAATGAATTTAATTGGTTCAGCTTTGAGACCGTCTTCACCTGGGGCTGTACTGTTTTTAAGGGAAACAATCAGGGTACTTATTTCTTCCTCGTCCGTAGGAGAAAAGAAAATTGAGCTAGTTACGTTATTACGTATATATGAAATGACATTAGCTGCATTGGTTGGGGAAGACGAGCATACTACTGATGTTAGAAAAGGTATATTAAAAAAGTCTGAGAGCTGTTTACCTCCGTAGCTTTTGCCGTCAATTTTCAGTTCAATAGGAGGTGGATCACTAGGCCTGGAAATCAAAGTTCCTACAGTGCTCCAGATTTTCTTAGGGTCACCTAGGATACTCATAAATTTATTCATATAATATTCGCGTCGTGCCTTTTTTAGGTCCGAATTT